GGAAAAAAAAAAAAAAAAAAAAAAAAAAAAAAAAAAAGAGAGAGAGAGAGAGAGAGAGAGAGAGAAAGAAATAAAAGTTATCCAAACTGTAAAGGGAAGCCAGGCATGGTGATATATATCTATAATCTCAGCATTCAGGAAATTGAGGCAGGAGGATCACCATGCCTTCCAGGCCTGCCTGAGCTGCACAGTGAATTCAAGGCCAGCTTGAACTACATAGTGAGACCCTGTCTCAAAACCAGAATATAAAAGGAAAAGAAGTAAAACTGTATCTGTTTCTAGATGACAGCACCTTATATATAGAATATCCTAAGGAATACACCAAAACAACTAAACTACTAGAACTGACAAATGAAACCAGGTGTGGAAGCACATGCCTGTAATCCCAGCATTCTTGGAAGCTGGAGTAGAAGGATTCCAAATTCAAACTCAGACTGGGCAATGTAGCAACTTAGTGAGATCCTGTCTCAAAGTAAAAAATAAAAAACTGGCTGGGTATGTACTCAGTGTGAAGTCCCTGGGTTTAATCCCCAATACCACAAAAAACCAAATAAAAAAATTAATAAATGTGTAGGGCATGGCGGCCCATGCCTGTATTCCTAGCACTTGGGAGGCTTAGGCAGGAGGATCACCCTGAGTTCAAAGCCAGTCTGGGCTAGGATAGAGATTTCAAGGCCTGTCTAAATTATATAGCAAGACTCTGTCTCAACATAAAACAAACAAATACAACTAAAAATGAGTTCAGCAGGGATGAAGGTTACAAAAGACTATTATATGTCTATATGTTTGAAATGAACAGTTTGAAAATAAAATTGAAGAAACAATTTTTTTGAGACAGGGTCTCACTATGGTAGCCCAGGCTGGCCTTGAACTTTCAGCTATTGCCCTGCCTCAGCCCTCTAAGGCTAGATTACAAGCATGTACCACCACACCTCTCAACAGTTACACTTATAATAGCAACAGGAATAAAATACTGGTAGGAATTGCAAGAGATACAGATTAGCCAAAACAACTTTGAACAAAAACAAAGTTGGAGGAGTCACTCTAATTTCAAAACTTACTACCAAGAAATAGTAGTCAAGAGAGTATGATATTGGTATAAATATAGACATATAGATCAGTGAAGTAGAGTTGATAGTCCAGAAATAAACCTGTGAGTATATCCTCATTTGTTCAAAAACAAATGGTGCTGGGACAACTGAATAGCTATATGCAAAAGAAGGAAGTTGGACCTTTACCTTTTACCATATACAAAATTTAATTCAATGAATTAAAGACCTGCCAGGGATTTAGCTCAGTGGCACGGCACCTGCCTCGCAAGCACAAGGTCCTGAGTTCGATCCCCAGTACAAACAACAATAACAACAACAAAATCTTGAATTAAAGGCCTAAAGGCAAGAGGTATAAAACTCTTTTTTTTTCAGTTGCAAGGATTTATTTTGTATAAAAAAGTTTTTGTTTATTTTACATAGAAACAAATAGGAACTCAAAGGAATCAAAGCTTTCTAACTTCCATCATATTTTCCAATGTGTGTTTGTTTAGATGGAAAGATGACAGATGATAGATACATAGATAGATATATAGAACAATAAAAATTCTGCCATCGATATAAAGGCTGTCATACAAAGATAGCATTGTTTTAGTGGAGCAAATTGGGACACTTTTCTTGTTCATCAAAACAATTCTGCATTCAAACCCTTACCTAGCATGAAGCATATGAATGCACTGTAACATATTTTGCCAATTTATTTTTACAGAGGCTCAATTATATAGCTAATTGTTCATTGATATTAATATTAAAAGTCTTTATGCTAAACCACTAAAAAACTTTTCATAAATCAATTTATTTGAACAATTGCTCAGTAAAGAGGACCATGCTGAAAATATAACATGTTCTCTAGAAATAAATCGTTTTGATAGAAAAATATATGTTGTACAATTTTTTCTTGTTCATTCAAAAAATCAAAGCATCTTCTGTTTAAGAAGGTATAAAGGGATTTTCTAGTTAAGGAACCTTTCAACAAAAATATAGAGAAAGGAAACCTTTCATTTATAATCAACAAAGGTCTAAATGACAAGGAACACTTTGCTCTCCTAGGAAGAAAGACTATTTGTAGGAACCAATACCTAATGAACAATGATGGAAGAGAAAGATGTATTGTTCAGACCAACTGCCTTAGGAGAAACCTAAGTAAAAGCTATGGATTTGTGTCAGTTTTATTTATTTATTTATTGGCTTTTTGAGACAGGGTCTCACTATGTAGTTGAGACTGATCTGGAACTCACGATGTAGCCCAGGCTGGTCTCAAACTCACAGCGATCCTCCTGCCTCAGCCTCCCGAGTGCTGGGATTACAGGTGTGCGCCACCACACCCAGTTTAAGAGGTACAAAACTCTTAAAAGAAAGCTTAGGGGTAAATCTTCATGACTTTAGATTTGGTAGTGTATTCTTAGATATGATAAAATAAGCAGAGGCAACAAAACAAATAGATAATTTAGACTCCATCAAAATTAAAACTTTTGGAGAAGCAGAATGAAACCAGCTACTTCAGCACACCTCTCCTCAACTTAGTGTTACTAGTCCTCAGCCTAGTGGGCTGCACCAGGATGGGCATCATGGCCAATTTCCAGGAGCTGGCCATGCCTGTGCTGGCCTCTGTGTGCGGTGTGATGTACATCCTCCTGCAGTCCATCATCTCCTATAAGTCTTGTCCCCAGTGGAACAGCTTGTCCACATGCCCCGTGCAGATGGCCATCTCTGTGGTGTCCTGCACAGCTGTCCTCCCATGATCTCCTGTGTCTCCTTGAGTTCTATTACCAAGCTGAAGTAGAACCCAAAAGAAAAGGATTACATGTATCACCCCGTCAGCGCCATCTGCAAGTGGACCTCGGCTTTTGGTTTCATTTTCTACTTTCTAATGTCCATCTAAGATTTTCAGAGCATGACCCTGAGGATATCCTTAGAAACCAACATGGACACCTGAAGGCAGGAGGGTTGTATCTCACTCAGAGC